GGGGGCTTTGCTAGAGCAATTCTGTTTGACGGGGGCTTTGCTAGAGCCATTCTGTTTGACGGGGGCTTTGCTAGAGCAATTCTGTTTGACGAGAGCTTTGCTAGAGCAATTCTGTTTGACGGGGGCTTTGTTACTTTGTTAGGCCCTCCGGAGACACTAAGGTTGACGCTTAAGCTGCAGCCCAGTCGCCCCCGCGGGGCTCGTTTCCCCGCTTCCGCCCAAGAAGGAGGAACCCCCGCCCTCTGTTCTCATGATGCCCCCCCCTTCTTCCTTACAATAATAAACCCCCCCCACCCCTTCTTATTCTCCGCGGGGAGAGCTAGCCCCTGGGGCTCGGAGAGCAATCATTTGCATAATAATACCCCTCCCCCGAATAAGGATAATACCCCCCCGCCCGCCTATCGGGGCGGTCTGAGTAGATACTAGTAGCGTTTCCTACAAAAGTATCTACCGTTGGCCGGTTGATAGCTTGTACTCAACTTGAAGTCTCAAGAACTGCATCTTTGTAGGACCTATCCGCAGCACAAGGAAGTGCTGCGCTCCAGTGTAACGCTGCTGCGCAGCCTCATTCGTTTGGGTCTGAAGTGGGCTGTGTTGCAGGTCCCTGTCCCGCGTGGAAAGTGTTTGCAAGGGTGCCCTTTGCTCCTAGTAGCTTCTTGTTCCTAGTAGTACGGCCAGGAGCCCCTTTAGTAGCGTCCTTGCTCCTAGTAGCGATGCCCTTTGCTCCTAGTAGTTGCAACGGCAGCTTGAAGTCGACAGACATGTCGTGAGATTGCTTTTCTTTTTGACGGCAAGCGTGTTCCATTTCCACTAATTCTCTCAGACAGCGTGGATATTGTATATATATATAGATATGAGCATATCATATGGGGCATTGTTTTTGCATGTTCTTGCGCTGAGTTGGGAGCGATCTTTCAGAGAGCGAGAAAACCTTGGCTCCAAATCTGGAGGACACTGACCAAACATATGCGACCATATCCAGTGATGTCGAATCCGCTGGATCAAGAATTGAGTTCTCAGAAGCCTTCTCAGAAGTTCTCAATGCAACAGTCAAATTTGGGAAGAAACAGTGCAAAATCGAGCTGCCCAGCAAGTCGAAAGTAAGTCCACAAACAAGTCCAACACGAGCAACAGTGTCCATTCCCTCCGCCCCGGTAGGATGCTCTGACGCAGTTTGAGGGCTTTGCGGAGGGCATGAGAGTCGGGGACCTGCTCGGCATGTGACAACGCTAGCAATTGTTTGAGAATGCGCGGCAATTTGGCAACGAGGAACCCAAGTGGAGCTCATTTGTTGAAACCTAGTTGCTTTTTGTCAATTCTCGTGTCGGTTTGTGGACTCATTTTGCGTGACTTGATTGCGCACTTTCCAAGGCTCAGAGGTTGACATGTTGCAGCCATGGTGACTTTCTCGTTCGTGAAAGTAGAAAGAAAAGAACGTTCTAGGAACACGGACGCTACTAGGGGCTCCTGGCCTTACTACTAGGAGCAAGGTTTCTACTAGGAGCAAAGGGCATTGCTACTAGGAGCAAGGGCACTACGAACGGGGAATCCTTAAGAACGTTCGTCTCAAGGAACTCCCGAGATCTGTCTGAAGACTTTCCATAAGGTAAGAAACATGGGCGATCTCTTGAATAAGGGTATTAAGAAGAGACAAGAAAACGTTAGGACATTCAGGTCTTGAGCATTCCCGACCCAAGGATATTTCTTCTGTGAGGTAGGCAGAGTGGCAAGCCGAAACCACATGTTGTATACAAGGCTGGTTTCAGGGTTTGCGTTTCTTGCAGTCAGTTGCTGCACATCAACTTTTGCCATGAACACATGTAATAAGTCTATGACGATGGTAAAAGGGTAGTCACTCCCTTAGTCCGCTAGTGCTTAGTAGATTTGTTTCTTTGCTCACTTGGTTTCTTTCACCACGTGGCGCCGCTGGGTTTCTTCGTGTCATGGACCCGAAGTTGGTGGATGACATCCACCGCGGCACCTCCTACGACCTGGGTCAACAGCCTTTGCTGCCGGGAAGTCCTACCGGTCGCCCAAAGGGAAAGCAGCGCAGGAAGCCACGCCTGCCTTTGGGCTGTTTTTGGCCGCTATGGTCAGAGCGCCTGGTGCAGGAAGAAACGTAGACATTATATAAAGAGGTATGGGTGGTTTGGATGGTTTTGGCATCTTGTTTTGGTGTTTGGCACGAGCTAAGAGCTTGTCAGTAAGCCACAATTTATAGGTACGTTCTCCTAAAAATCTAGGAACCACATGAATAGTGCCAACACCTCTTCAGGGAAGAAGCGTGAGCTACTTAAGCTACTAGCTACCTTGCTTCTACTAGCTACCTACCTAGGTTAGCTCTACCTCCCCTCTACAGCCTACCCGCCGGGGTCTTCTCCTTGTTCTCTTCTCTTTCCTTCTCAGGTGCGTTCCATTGGAGAAAAAGACTCATGGCACTCCAGACTGGGGCGCTTTAGGGGTGAATGTCATGGCGGGCCTTATCATGGGCGTGCGGGAGTCTTTGGGTGGAATCGTCTCAGCATCTTTGCTCTTTTCGTCTGACAACCTGGAGATTTCCTCCATGCTGCAATTTGGCATCAGCATGACCCTATACACCATGACTGTCGCCCAGCTTGTTTGGAGGCCATCGCTAGTAGGTTGGAGGCCATCGCTCTTAGGGTCGAGGCCCTCGCTATTAGGTCCTGTAAACTGTACATCCACATGTACATTCTACTTTGGATACTTTACCGATTTGCGGTTTCTTCAGTCTCACTTCTTGTTTGTTCAGAGTTGTCTGATGTGGGGGAGAAATGCACCAGGTTGGTGTTCTGTGGTATTCAGTATTTGGACGGCTGCAGTATGGCTATGGCACTCAGCAAGATCTGATCTGCATATTGCAAGCCTCACTGGCTTCAAAGGCCGCAAGACTTTTGCGAGATGACCCTGAAAGGACACTGTTCATTTGCTTCAGCTTCAATTTGTCGTTGCCCCTAGAAGCGCCCTTTGCTCCTAGTAGCGATGCCAGGAGCCCCTAGTAGCATTCTTGCTTCTAGTAGTAAGGCCAGGAGCCCCTAGAAGCGTCCTTGCTCCTGCCTGAACTACGTGCTATTTTTCAATCTTTCACAGCATTTGGATTGTTTTTGGACTGTTTATGTTTGTCCTTGCAAGGCTTAATGCACAGATACGTCTCAAACGAATCCTTGCAGTGTCAAGTCTCAGATCGGCATTTCAAGCCCTGAGCGCAATCAGACGACCCCAAAGGCGGCAATCAGGGTTGGGGTCGCCGTCTCTTCTCTCGCTCGACCGAACGAGCGAGGATCCCTGCCACAGTCGTTTGCATCATTTGCTTCAGCTCTATACTTAGTGGCTTTGTGAGCATCGTGGTCGGCAAGCTCGCTTGGGCCACTTCCATGTCCCTAGAGTTTGCAAGAAGAGATGGCATTCTCGGGAGAGAAGCAGAAAGCATTGAAACACGACAAACCAAACAAATACTGTATTTGATGTGGGTGAGCTTTCAACTCCTCCTTGCATCACCAGCACTTGGTTGTTGCCCAACCTTTTTCCTGTGCCTCCTGATAAACTCCGGGAGTTCAGGCGCTGCACGGAGCTGGAATTAACCGCTTCCAGCCAGCATGGCCAGCACAAGATCCATCCTGGACCATTTCCATGCTTGTCATGCGAATCGGATAGAGCCGTCCACAGTTGCTGTCCTTAACGTTGCTCCTCCAACAGTCCACAGCAATGCCATGCTATGCCATGCTACGCCCCGGCCACCCTGTCAAACCTTAAATTTCTCACCTTGCGCTTTAAATCGTTTCACTTTCACATGCTTCTAGCAAAGTCATGATCTGTGAGCAGTGGGATGCTAGCTTATTGCAACAACAAGCTAGACAAGTGGCACGGCTGTGCCGCAACGGCATGACACTGCCCACAGAGGAAGAAAGAGGGGACAAAAGGACAACAAGGTGTTTGGACGTCTTCAGCCAGGCCGCTTTAGCCTTATTAAAGTGGCCCAAGTCCACCTTCCCTAATAGGAGGCCATCGCTAGTAGGTTGGAGGCCCAAGTCCACCTTCCTGTTGAGCAGCTTAGGTTGATGATCCCCAAGCCAGTTGTGAGTGGCTTCCTGGGTGCCATTGGAGTGGTGGTATTGCAAGCCGCCTTTAAAACGGCTTCTGGGGCATCTTGGCTTTCTTCTTTTCGAACCCGTAGAAAGCCTTTTATGAAAGCATCCGGTCAGGGCGTTCTAGAACAAGTACCCTTGGGTAGGCCTGAGAAAAGACGGACACGCGGAGGTCCCAGGGCGAGGTTTCCCCAACAAAACTAGGACTCAAGTTCATCATGTAAAGAACTCTTTGCCCTTCTGCGTCCTAGGTTTCTTGCCACTACTATGTAAATAGCTCAATGAGCTCAATGGACATGCCATAATTCGTGTACCACTTTCCAAGGTACCATTCCATTATTTCTGGCCTGACATTGGCATTCGTGCTTTTTGCTCCTCCCAGGACTGAATGTTGAATGCAGGTGTTCTCAGACGCGAACGTGTCAAACGCCACTCAGTGACATGAATGAGGTGTCCTGCCCAGAAGAGCAATGTGATTCAACTGAGTGTTCAGAAAATTGAGCACAAGAGGAATGGGAGGATGGGACGTTCCCTGCTTAGGACCGGCTTCTACAAGTGGGTTGCATGCTTCTGCACTTCATTTGCATTCGCAAAGGTCCAGACTTGTGTCATGTGCTCCTCCAGACGGAGACTGAGCTTGGCCATGCTGTCGGCGTGACCTTTAGAGCTTCCACACTCAAAAGACATGTGGATTTGCTTACGAACTGTGAAAGAATCTACAGGTCTGGTTGGTTTTTGGAGGCCATCGCTAGTGGGGTGGAGGCCATTGCCATTAGAAACACAGAAGAAAGAACACGAATAAAATTCTTCTCCATAGGGTCCATTCAGCCCGGAGTGCCAAGGACAAGAGCGGAGCCAAATTTGCCAGTCGCAAGGATGCGGTGAAGAAGCACCTGAACTGCGACCCCCCGGAGAGAACACAACAACTCCGGTTGTTCACCTAGCAGCTTCTTGTTACTAGTAGTAAGGCGCTTGTTACTAGAAGCGATGCACTTGTTTCGAGTAGCTTCTTGTTACTAGCAGTAATGGTTGTTCATGAGTTTTGATCGCACCGAGCCTTCTTTGAGTGTTCCATCGCGGGGATTGCTTTTTGCGGGATGATAAACGTTGTTCCCCTAGGGAAAAAAAGCCGAAATCGTCCATGCCTTTTTGCCGCCCAGGTATGCTGGCTTGGTTTGTCAGCTAGCGCCTTTAGTGCTTTTCTATGGCTGTGTCTTTGGTGCAGGCGTTGGCATGGAGGACTTAGCAGCCCATGGATGGACGTATCCCAAGGAAGGAAGTAGTGGACCCCTCACCATTTGGACCACATACAGTCTCTTTGACACCTCATTGTTTGGCCAAGTTTTCGTTTGAAGATATTTTGCTTTTTGTCATAGCGCTTTTGTTCCAAATGCAAAGGGGCAAGGAACTCTAGCCGCAATTAGACATGTTTTTCCCTGTTGCCAAGAAAGGTAGAACAAGCGTGCCTCTGCAGAGGCACAGTTTGACATCTCTTTTTATTGCGGCTTTTGCGCCGCTTTTGCGCGCTGCATGCGTGCACTGCATGTGAGGTCTTGAGGACGTTGACTTTCACGTGGTGCGGATGATACTTTTCTCCGTGGATATTGTTGCTTTGGTGGCCATGGCAATTCTGTGCACGATGCTCGGTGCATTAGCCATCACCGGAAGGTATCCAACAGGGCCAAGCGGTGATCCTCAACCAGATGACCCACTTGACTTCAATGCTGAGCTGATCACTGTGGGGGCTGCCTCCTTGTTCTTGGGCTGTACCGGAGGCTGGATTCAAGTATGGGAAGACGGTAAGATGTTCGAAGAGAGGATGGACTTGCAACGAGATGAAGAGAGCCATTGAATAGATCAAAAAGTTGTACTGTAAGGTCTTACTACTTGTGAACTTAACTGCACCTTACTACGCCCTACAAGAAGCTACTGCGAGTGGTTTACACAAGTTTCCACCTGCGCATTGTGTCGCAGGGAATTTGGTCTTCCACAAATTCTCCGTCATCCAACTGCGCGAAGATGGTGGCACGCACCGTGTGGCGGTGCTCACGATCGCCCTGGTGGCTGGAAACCTCTTCATTTTTGGGTGTCCTATTGGATCCTATGTGCCCAAGTGGTTTCTGGGAGGTTTATTCATGAATACTGGATGGTCCTTTCTGAAGAAGACACTCTTGTCCTACGAGACCCTGACCACCTTTAATTGGAGGGGTGTGCACTTGGTCTCACCGCAATATGGTATTTCAAGCTGCTGTGTCTTGATGGCGTTGTATTTCAGCCCCACGACCTCCATCCTAGCAGGCGGGGGCTTGCGCTGAGCCATGGCCTCCAACCAGATCTTTTGGTTAAAGAAGGACGCTACTAGGGGCTCCTGGCATCGCTACTAGTAGCATTCTCGTAACAAGAAGCTACTAGTTAAAGGAATACCCCTAAAGATCCTGAAAGAAACTGTAGTTGTCGTCAGGAGGATCCTGTGGAAAGATCAGGTGTTCACAACGCATCTTATCCCCCACCCCACCCGGTCCCACATAACAGCACCCCACATCCACAACGCGTGCAACATGCGCGAACCCTCACGGCCAAGTATGAACACAATCTTTGGGACCTGCCACATCAACAGGAATTAGCTTCTTGTTACTAGTAAAAAGAATGCTACTAGTGGTAATGCCCTTTTTTACTTAGTAGCCATGCCTTGCTCCTAGTAGCTTCTTGTTCCTAGTAGTAAGGCCAGGAGCGCCCCTAGTAGCGTCCTTGCTACTAGTAGCGATGCCCTTTGTTCCTTCTAGCGAAAGTGGCTCCATCCAACCTGGTGGTTCCGAAACATCCGATTTGCGATTCGCTTTAGGACTCTAGGATGTCCAAGACAAATCTGTGGAATCAACTTCCGTGTGTTTTTTTTTTTTTTTTTTTTAAATCCCATATAAATAATATATTTTTAGAGGGGTTTCAAAATCTATTCTTTGCAATGTCTTTTGCCGCAGGGCTTTGCTTGAGCATTCTATTGTTTGTCTTGGATGGCATGACAACTTCACCTGTCAACAGCGTGGTGGATGGACAGCACGTGGTGAGTCGCACCAAGAGGCCCTGGTGGGAGATGAGCTACTTGGATTTGAGGAAACGAGACCCAACAGTTTTTATTGTCTATTTTGTTTTAGCATTTTTGTTGTTTCTTGCTATTCTTATGTTCTTTTTTACAGGGGTGTAGGCCGTGAGGAGGCTGAAGTAGAGTTTCAGAGAAGCAATATTTTTTTGGGAAAACTGGACGCTTGGACTTGTGTGGCTGTTTTGGGCGGTGATGGATTGAAATGAATTTTGGGACCTGAAGGGATTGACAAGATGCCAAACATTTGGAATGCTGCTTTTTCGCTCAAAAGAGATACTTTCAGAATGCAGGCAGACACTGGAAACTTTTCCACTTTTCTGCGTTTACTTGAGGATCTACTTGATGTGTCGGGTGTTTCAAATCACCATGACCCGTGCTCAGGCGTGCTAGCAGCTGAAGGAGACCGGATTCGCCTTCTATACCTCCAAGGCCAACATGGAGGGAAACTGTGGTTGAGAGCGCAGAAGAACAAACCAACAGTGTTTTGTTGAGAGTAACAAGCCTTGAGATTCGCTCAAATATGTCAAATCTCCCCATGCATGTTGAACACTCTTGTCGAGGTCAGCTCTTTTTCGGATCCATGTTGCAGCTCACTAGCAACTTGGAGGCTGCAGCCGCAGATTCTCGGATCGAATTCGTGATTTTGAGCTACGGCCGGGTGCCTTTGATTGATCCCTCCGCGGCAGAGAACATCAAGTTGGCACAAGACAAGATGGTCCTTTGGCAATTTCAGTCCCGGAAGCAAGCGAAAGCGAGTGGCCGCACGTGTAGTGCGGCTTCCTCGAAACTCGTTTTCAATGAGGGACAAACCATCTAAGGGGTTTAAGAAAGGAAGAAAAGGCAGAAAGAAGAAGGACACCACTTTTTTCAATTCTTGTTCATCACCTTTTTGCTTTTGGGTGTTTTGTGTCTTTGCGTTCTTTCCCGCTTTTATGATAATTTATGTTTGTTGTTGATATACTTCCTGCTATTTTGACTGTTTGGTGGCTTTGTTTTACAGTGCAAGCGCCGCGTGCACTTTTTGCTTGCTGGTTTACTGGCTGGCTGGCTGGCTTGCTTCCTTGCTTCCTTGCTTCCTTGCCTTTCTGTTTTTACTGCTCGCTTTGCTTCTCTGCTGTTGATTCTTTTATTTCCTTTTGTTGAGTTGGCTCTTCCGTCTTTTGTGCGTATGCAACTTTTTGCATTCTGCTTTCTTTGGAACTTTCATTGTTGTCCTGGTTTGCTTCTTGCTTTCATTTCTGTCACTGGCCACCAAGAAAGCACAGAGGCAAGCAAGCAAGCAAGCAAGCAAGCAAGCAAGCAAGAAACACGCGTGCACGCAAGCAACTAAATACAGGCAAGCCAGGTCTGCAAGTAGAAGTGAAATGCCAACCCCTCGGGCCATAGCAGCAGAATTGGACGAAAGGAATGCGCTGCTGGTGACGCCGGGGCCCGTCGGGGCATGCGGCGAATGGCTGTGGGGGCTGTAAACAGAAGTTGACCATGGGATGTCCAAATTTCTGTAATCGTACACAATAGGATTCAATGCAAAGTGAAGATACCACCTTCGGACTGCTGAATAAATAGCAGCGGAAGTTGGCGATAAGATGTCCCGTGCTCTAAATGGCGACGGAGCTTGTCACAACCCTTCCCTTTCTGCGATGGTCTGGTGCGGCTGGACTAAACCTCCTCCAACCTAGGAGCGATGGCGTCCAAGCTAAAAGCGACGAAAGCTCCGCCCACCAAAACCAAGGCAAAGTTTGGTTGCCACGTCATCCACTGCCGGATGAACGAGCAAGTCTTTGGGACCTTATCCGCTGCTGGCGCCGTCCGGAAGCCCTCAGCTGATTTGCTGATGCGAATCCAAACGCTCGGTTGGAGGCACCGACATTCGGGGGCAGAATCGGAGGGTAAAGCGACGACGATCTGATGAAACACATTGTTGACGGACAAAGAAGCCTGGAACTGTTTTTGTTTTGGGTGACTCGTGCATGCCGGGAAGAATGTCTGATGAAACAGAAGATGCCCAGTTGTTTCTTGCAGGATTTGGCCTGACTCAGAAACCACTCAGCCAAAAGTTTCAGGTGATGTGATCCACTGATCCACTTCAAACATTCACAACGTATGAACGCAGAACGCAATGTGGGATGTGCTGGAACTCTCAGACACAGGTATCATGGATCAGTGGTATGCAACAGCGATGAGCATCCTGATGCCTTCTTCCATGAGACAGATGCTTTCCTGATTCATTGAGGCAGAAAGAGCAGTCTTGGTCACGTTCTTTTGAGGCCTAGCAAGGGGGCAAGCACAGTAGGAAGGCGCAGGGCGAGAAGCCTTTAGGTTGGAGGCCATTACAATTTGGTTCCTTTTGCTATTAGGTTGGAGGCATGTACAGGGTCCACTTGATATGTTTGGCCTACTTGCATGCAGATCAGAGCAGTTTACCCAGTTTGATGGCCAAAAACCGCCATTGTGCTAAGGACTGCTTGGACTACTGCAATGAATATCTGGTCCAAAACTTTAGTTATAACGTGGCATCCCCTACGCCGCCCTTGGAAGAGTACATGCGCGAATACCGGGAGGTGCCATGGAACCCATTTCAATTCCTTAGGTTACAAAAACGAACCTTCACGATTATGACACCAACGATCCTTTAACTGAAACCTGGAGTTAATGGTGCAGATGACATGAGTTGAGAAAGTGGGAGGGGCAACTGGACAGCAAAAGATGAAATCGAATGGTAGCCAAAAAGGGATCATAAGGGATCAAATTCATGCAGGTGTTGCAGCTCCAAGATTGCACCATGAAACGGGTCATTTAGCAGCGTGTTTCGCTTTGAAGATATGAGAATAGGAATTTTGCGTTCTGCTCCCACTCGAAGAAAGGAGATTTGTTCTTTGTTCTCTGTATATACCCTTGCAATGACTTCTTGGAGCAGAAGCCTTAGTCCTTCCGTCTCTTGTTCTATTACCTCCTGGCCTCCCCTTAGTCCCACCACTTGTTGTTCCATCCTGGAAGCTATTAGCTTGGAGGCCATCTCTAGTAGGTTGGAAGCAACCGACGCCTTTCGCATGGTCAGGTCATTTGCAACGAGCACCGACGCCTTTCGGAGAGTGCCTTCGAGAGGATGAACGATCTCCCGGGCGGTGTCATGGGGCAGCTGCGGCAATTCTGCGAAGTCCGGGTGGATGAGCCCGCAGGAAAGAATCTGTCAGATGAGTTGCCAAGCATGACGAGAGCGATGTGCTTCATTTTCAAAGGTGCTCTCTCTTTGGTTCAGATCGTTCCGGTCGTGGAGAAGCCCGATAAACTGGAAACGCACGCATTTAGCTTCCGGCGTGGGAAGCGGCTTTTGTCCAGGTATCCTCCAGGTCATGTCGCGGGGATTGAGATTTTCTTCAAGTTTCACCAGCAACGCGTGGAGGAGAACTTGCAACCGAAGCTGATTGTGTCCTCCCTGCTGGGACCTCCAGCAGAGGTCTGGACCTTGAGATACGATGGCTGGCAAGATATCCCAGGATGGAAGCAGATGCCAGACAGCTTGAAGGGAAACTGAGCCACACATAGCCACACCAACACATTTTCTGATTTGGGATTTTGCTTCGTTTCTTCCCACTGGGTCGAATCACTCGTGATGTCCTTCTTTTGTCCTTGAGGATACTTGGCACGTATGCTTTGTGTCCAGTTTGCCGACACCTTGAAGCATGCCAATCTCAAAGAACGATGAGGCAAAGTTCCTTCCAAGTGGTCGCCCTCCTTCCAAAGGCGTGGTCCTTTCCCATAGATGTTTAGTTCACTCTAGGCTTGGCGCGCTGGTGCAGAAATTACTCTTGAGCACCACTTGACCTTGTTCCCGTGCTGAGCAAAAGTGGTTTGTTCTTGATGCGCGTGTCCAGGAAGAACAGGTGTTATGTTTGAAGTAAGGAAACCCTTTGAAACAGGTGTTTTTGCTGTATCTACGACTGAACGTCTTGCATTCAGATTTGTTTCTGTGTGTTTTCCCCGTCAAAGCTTGGAGGGTCCCACCAAAGGCAGACAAAGAGCTTTTGGGGCTCCTGACCATGCTGAGAGTGCACATTCTCAAGAGAACGAGGGCGAGTTTGGGACGGACGAAGCGTCAGCGTGACGGTGAGTGGCCCATGTGGCCCATGTGGCTGAGTAAGGCTTAGTAAGGACAGTGAGTTCAGATATGTTCAGATGGCCTCCAACCTACGACACTTTCCAAGTCGAAGTCGAAGTGGTCTCCTTCTTGGGACTTCTCGCGACTGACATCCGAGGTTGAGACCTTCCTTCAGGCCCCGAAAGCCTTCGCGGGTTTGGGATGGGTAGCTAGTGGGGAAATACCCAAGCCTTTGTGGGAAAAAACGACGGAGTAGCACGTCAGCTCGATTGATGGCTTCCTTCATTTGTGCAAGGACGCTCAAGCTTTCTCATGAACATATATTTTTTTTCCCGTTTCCTTTCCTTGCGGGAAACGACTGTCCGTTTTAGAAGCAGAGCAGCACAAGTGCTTCTGGCTGCACAGACATGAGTGTACGTCGTGTGGAGAGGAGTTGCGGAGAAGAAGCGCTGATGTGGCCACGAGGACCTGTCTGGCTCGGCAGAGCGGAGCCGCGAAAGACCTGGTGACCCTTTTTTCTTAAGAAACAAGTGCCACGCTACTAGGAACAAGTGCCTTACTAGTAGTAACAAGAAGCTAGTAGAAACAAGTGCCACGCTAGTAGTAACAAGAAGCTATTAATTTATTATTCATTTAATTCTAATAGCAAACATTGTTACTACTAGTAAGGCACCTGTTACTAGAAGCGATGCACCTGTTACTACTAGCGTGGCACTTGTCCGGGCCCGGTTCGCAACCCGCAGGGTTTGGAGGGCCCGGACCCCTGCCATGGAGGGTCCGACCCCTGCCATGGAGAACCGTTGTTTAAAGTACGAGTCAGATCCGATGTGTCGCAAAAAGAAGACACGTGACAAAGTGGTGAGACTTCCAAGAGATGTACCAACATATTGGCCGCTTGCCACGAAGCCGTCCGAGTGGCCCAAATTCCAGTGACCACAGTGGTCAGACTGCTCAGTGCCAAATGTCCAGAACACAAAGCGCTCGGACTCCTCCAGCTCCGCAAGATGTCTTCACACTCTGCGGACAGCAAGTCAAGGCGGAAGTTTTCTTTTCTTAAGGTGGAGGCCATCGCCAGTAGGTTGGTGATTAGGTTCGGATAAGGTTTGGATCAGATCCATTAGTTGTTTCTGCCGATTGAACCCATACAGAAAAGCTGTGACCGATCGGATCAACGCACAAGAGACTCTCTCTAGCTATGGGAGTGCTTGTTTAAGAACAACCTGGTGAGTCTGAACGCCTTACTACTAGGAACAAGTGCCTTACTAGTAGTAACAAGTGCCTTACTAGTGGTAACAAAAAGCCTAGTAGATTCCTTTGCTAGTAATTCTAATTAAAGTCTTATTGTTACTACTAGTAAGGCACTTGTTACTACTAGCGATGCACCTGTTACTAGTAGTTTCTGAACAACCTGGTGAGTCTGAACGCGTGCAATGTTCAGGTCAAGAACACCTTCCTGGATGACCTCATCCGTGAGAAGAATTCCTCGAATGAATCCACCCTGGAAGCTCATACTTGTCCAGAATTCCGCCGGAGCGATGTGGCAAGCTCAGGCCGCTCGGGGTGGGCTTTGGGGGAAGTTGCACGTTAGTGGCTTTGCTACTAATAGCTTCTTGTTCCTAGTAGTAAGGCCAGGAGCCCCTAGTAGCGTGGCACCTGTTCCTAGTAGCGATGCCTAATAGCTTCATGTTCGTAGTGGCTCCAGTTTCGTGCTTTCCTCAGCCAGGCAGCTCCAGTGGCAATTCCGGACCGGTGGAGAGTGGCTCATCCTTCGCAACGCCAGAGATGGAGGGCCTGGAGGGCATGGAGGGCATCGATCCTGACTCAGAAGACCCGGAGGGCCTCCCTGAGGTGGAAAGCTGCTAGTAGCTAGAAGCTACGAACGTAACAGGGGCATCAATACCTAGTAACAAGGGCATTACTAGTAGCAAACGAGTAGCTAGAAGCTACTAGACAGTCTATGCCTATGCTGTCCCTCGAGGTCGAAAGCTTTCTGACCTTGACACCTCCCATCTCTTTGCGTTATTCTCAATACCCGCAGACGATGCCAATGCCTGCTATGCCGCCAATGTCGACCCCTGATCTACAGAACCTACACGGCTTGGACTTCGATGCGCAGCTCTTGTGTGCTTTGCAGGCAGTGCCCAATGCGCCCTGTGGCAGTGCGCCTTGCTTACCTTTCCTACTGCGCTGCGTAGGTCTGTTGAGCTTCGTCAGTTCTACAAGAATGTCCACATTCGGTTTGGCGGGCCATGAGACAAGCCGACAAGCCACGGTTCTATGATGTTCTATCTTTTTCCAGCCACGGTACGCATGTTCTTTGCCTTTTTCCCCAAGCAGTGGTGACACATGAAAAGGACTTCTTGCGGTTAGATTTGAGAACGGTGTCTAATCATCTAATCATCTAGTCAAGGTCCTAATCAGAGTTCTCCGGAAACGTTCGCCCTGGTCGTTTGGCACCTGTGCAGCGAAAGTGACGTTTGCGACGACCGTCTTGCATGAAATGCGTGTCTGTGTGGTGGCTCTCCCTATGGTGCCGACCTGGAAGTTCGTTACTTTTCGTGGCAGCCGCAGTAGCTGCGACGTGTCTTGGCGGTCTTTTGTGGTCTCGTATGTGTGCTTTCTGAGTGTGCTCTCGCGAGTGGTTTTGCAATGTTGTGCATGTGACTGCATGTGTGCAAGCGTATGCTCTCTGCACGTCCTCTATCATGTGCACTCTCACATGTGTGCTCTTGTATGTATAGTGGATATGCGTGCCTGAGTGTGGCTTTAACAGGTGCCTCCAACCTGTGCTCTCATACCGACGTGCGCTCGCAGATGTTTGCTTTCATATGCGTGGTCTCATATGGCTGGAGGCCATCGCTAGTAGGTTGGAGGCCATCGCTTCTAAGTTGGAGGCCATTGCTATTACGTAGGTTCCTTTTGCTAATAGGTTGGTGCTTCTTTCACATGCTTGCTCTCAAATGTATGCCGCCTGTGTGAAGCTATCTGCGTTGGGCCGGTAGTTACATGAGGCTATGGCGGACCAAACAGGCAGATGTGTGGGAGTTTATATCCCCTACAGCCTGATGACATGAACCTACAGGATTTGCCATTCGCGACAGCAAGAATTCTTGCTTATGAAGTTCTTTGGGTGAAAAACAATTCGTGTAATTCATAGTTTAATTTTGATGATGGCCCTCTCGTTCGGTTCTCTGCTCGGTACCTCCAAGCTCCTTTCATCCTCCCCTTTCGCGCCGATCCAGTCTTTTAAGGTGCCGCCTGTGCTGCCGAACGGGAATTTCCCTTTCCATGAAACGCTGCTGAGCGCGCTGCCTGCGCTTCCTGGGGTGCTGCCTGGGGTGCCTGGCATGCCTGGGATGCCACTTTTGGCGCCGGTGCTGAGCACCATGCCCGGAGGGCCCAAAGAGCCGCTGCCTTTCGATGATGTCAAAGTCCCAGAGTGGGTGTTTGTAGAGAAAGGTATGAGACATTGCATGAAACAGAAATCAAATCTGGTTTCACTTTAAACAGACGGAAAGAAGGAGACATAGGAAAAGGAAGGGAAAGACAAGTAGTCACTGCCCCGGTGTCCAAGACCCTTTTGAAAAGTATTCATCACCGGTTCATTGTCCTTGCTGAGACGATGTCATTGCTTTTAGGTTGGAGGCCATCGGAGGCCATCGCTAGTAGGTTGGAATCGCTTAAGGTGCCTGTTGGCGCGCCCGGCCTCCCGCCTGTGACGGTCCTGACAGAGATGTCTCCGGCAAGTGATGACGTCCCCCAGGACTGATGTACCCTGTGAGGTGTCGGGGGTCACCCACAGAGTAGGGTAGCTCATAACCAAGTAGAAACAAGTTCGGGAACTTGCCTTACTTCTTCCTTCTTTCCTTTCGTTATGTTTCCTTTTTGTATTTTCTGCCTGTAACAGGAACACCCTTGCTTCAACAAGAACCTTGTTTGGCTTCTCCGACGAACGCTTTCGTTGATCTTTGCGAGATCGTTTACTGGTGACCGATTGGCCCATCTTGGCCCTTGGTGGGCAGGAGAACCTGGTGGAGGACAAGCAGACGAGGCCAAAACCAAGGGAAGTTTCCCAGCGTTCGCTTTGCTGATGTTCTCACCAAACAGTTCATTGGTTAACAGCTCAACAGGTGACTCAACAGGTCCAGTCGGAACGTTTGCAACGAGGTGAAACGACATGTTTCATCAACTCATAGTAGCAAGGACGCTACTAGGGGCTCCTGGCATCGCTACTAGGAACAAGAAGCTACTAG